CCCAGGCTGGTCAAACTCACAGCAATCCTCCTGCCTCAGCCTCCTGATTGCTGGGATTACAGGTGTGCACCACCACGCCTGGCTTGGGAAGGATTTCTTAAACAAGACAAAATGAAAACGCCAACCAGGAAAAAAGGTAAGAACTTCAGACTGTCAAAAATGCATTAATGAAGATAAGCCACAGATCTTGGGGACCATTTCCAACACAATAATAAACAGGGTCTCTACATGAGTTTGTTGGGTTTTTAAAGCCAAACCACCAAAAAGGGGAAACCAAGCTAGCATCTCACCAAAGAGGAAAAAGTAGGCAGAGATGATCTACCTCACCAGGAATCAGAAAGTGCAGAGCAAGAACTCTGTAAAATGCATCTGGATGCGAGTTTGGTTGGCAAAGAGTGAGACACTGGACCATCAAGAGTGGTGAAGGGGACAAGCTGGTGCCTGCTTGTGCTAGGGGCTGTCCGAGATGACACAGCCTCTTGGGAAAATGACTTGGGACAAGCTTGAAACTCCAATGCCCAGCACCCCACATCCGCCCTCTCCTCCCGCCTGGGTGACCAGACAATGTACACTTTGAGCCAGGACATGGGGACAGGAGCGCCCCAGCTGTGGGGTGTGGGGACCCCTCCCATGCCTGCAGCCAGGACAGCCTGGAGCAGCGACCACCAGACCCCTGCCTCTGCCGAGGCCCCGACCAGCCACCCCACTGGGGCAGCAGCCTGCCGACCCCAAGCCCCACGCACCAACAGCGGAGTGTTGCCAGGTACTCTGACACCGTCGATCAGAGTGTCCTCCTCCAGCAGGCGGAAGGTACCCCAGGCTGGCGGGTACAGCCTCAGCGACTCCTTGAGGACCTGTGGTGCCACAGGAGATCACAAGTCACGGGGTCCCTGGGATGCACTGCACCCGCCTTGCTCCACTGCGTCCCCATCCCAAGGCCAGGTCTCCGAGCCAGAGCCTTCACTGCTTCCTCCCGGGCAGCTGGAGAAACTGAGGCCAGCTGAGAAGGGAGCTGTGCAGGGACAAGAAGCCAGGGCTCCTCCATCACACACAGGAGGCTGGGGTGAGCCAGGCAGGGAGGCGCAGGGAGGGTTCTGGGGGCCCTTGGGTAAGTGTGACCCCCGGGGCCACAGGTACAGCAAAGGTGAAGAGCCGCTGTGCTGAAGGGTCGGGAGGCAGTGGGACGCCAAATGCCTGGAAGTCTCTCTCCTCCGCCCACACCTGAGACAGGTACTGCAGTCTTCCCAGGTCCTCGTAGTCCAGGTGCCTCTTGGAGCCGATGACCTCGTCCACCTCAGCCTGCAGCCTGTCAGATGAGACACCGTCAGGGCCACCGCTGGAGAGAGGCCCTCTGCCCTGCCCCAAGTCGCATTTACCCAGTACCAGCCAGGTCTGCAACAAAAGCAAGGAGCCCCTGGACAGATGGGTGGGGAACCCCAATGCTTCCCTCCACACAACGGAAGGGGATCCACTCACTGAGGAAGGGGATTCTCACACCTGCTGCCATGCAGGTGAACCTTGCACGTGTTAGGCTGGGTGAAAGAAGCCAGTCACACAAAGGCCAGCACTACCCAGTGCCATTACAGGTTGTGACTTTGGGGGTGGGTATCAGGGATTGAACTTGGGACCTTGCACTTGTGAGGCAGGCAGTGGAACCACTGAGCTACATCCCTCGCTCCCAGGGCTATTACGGAGGGACCAGGAGTAGGCAGATGCCCAGGAAGAGGCTGCGAGGGGGCTGGGACCGGAAGTGAGGAGTTGTTAAGGTGACAGAGCTTCATGTTGGGAAGATGAGAAGGCTCTGGAGGTGAGCAGTGATGCTACAGCCTCAAGAATGTGAGTGGACTTCCTGCCACTGAACTGTACCCTCACAGATGGTTAAAGCACTGAATTTTAGTCAGATATGGTGCTGCACACCTATAATCCCAGCACTCTAGGAGGCTGAGGCAGGAGGATCACAAGTTCAACCCCCAAGTGGGCAATTTAGCGTCTCAAAATTTATAAACAATTTAGAAAGGGTTGGGGATGTAGTGCAGTGTGAAGGCCCTGGATTCTACCTGCAGTCCCTCAAAAGAAGGAAAAGGGTGAATTGTACATTACATACATACATTTTTACCATGAGTAAAACACATAGAAGACTGGGGAAGAGACAACGGTACCAGGCAGGCCTGGGGCTGCAGGGCAGAAACTCCACCTGTGGTGGCCGTGGCTCCGGGGGGCTGGGTGCCATGGGTTATTACTATCTTTATCGTTCTAACTTTTATGCTTTTCCCATAGTTTTTTTTTTTTTTTTTTTTTTGGTAGGGCAGTGTGTGCTAGGCAGGTCCTACAGCACAGAGCCACAGACCCAATCTGCCCATTTTTTATATAAAATGTGCATGACTATTCAATACATATTTTAAACCTACTGCGTATCTTTCATTCTGCCCTTTGGTGCTGAAGGTGACTAACACTTGTTTACTTGTTTTGTTTTTTGAAAGAGGATTTGCTATGTCGTCCAGGCTGGCCTTGAACTCAGGATCCTCCTGCCTCAGCCTCCTGAGAGCTCGGATTACAGGTGTGTACCACTGCACCTGGTGATGACTGACACTTGAAGCCCAGGCCTTCATCCCCCAGAGTGCCCATCCTGGGGGGCCTTTGTACTTGGTTTGGGTGCAAAGGTGCAAGGCCCCAGGGTGCTGGTAAGTGGGGTTCGGGCCATGAAAGAGGTGCCGTGGCCTTGGGAATGAGGCATCGAAGAAGCCCCTCTGCCAGCCCCTGGGCCGCACCATACCTTGCCACGATCTCGGGCTGGCGGGACAGCTCCATCACCGTGAAGGCCAGGTGGTTGGCGGAAGTCTCGTGGCCTGTGGGCAGAGGGCAGTGGCTACTCCATGCGTCCCGGGCTGTGGCTCGCTGGCCTCAGAGGCAGAGGACAGACGGACAGTGCCGGTGGAGGGAGGGGGCAGTGCCGGTTGGGGGCCGGCAGTCAGGGCCGAGCTGGCAGTCAGCACCCAGGGACTGGAGCTGCAGGTGAGCACCGCCCTCCGGGTGCAAGGCAGAGGCTGTGCAGCTGGGCAAATCGCCGAGGGCCCCCCAGGGGAGGAGCGCCCTGGGCCTCGGGAGGCTGAGGAGGGCTTTTCCAGGTGACACGAGAGCTGCATGAACACACGCGTGCATGGCCCAGCACCTCCTTCTGTGCTAATGAAGGTCCCCTAACTTCCTGGGGAGCAGGACAGGACACCGTCAGCTCAGCCTGGCCTGGACTCGGCCACCGGGACGGCACAGAGAGGTCCCTGCCCTTGCCTAGCCCCAGCAGAGCTCTCAGGCCGACCCAAAGCCTCAGTCTGGGCTCAGGTGACCTGAGGCACCCGAGACTTCCACAAAGGTCTGAGCCCTGGGCCGCCCGGGGAAGCTACGCACCGGCAATGAAGAAAGTGACAAAGTTGTCCAGCAGGACCTCGTCGTCCTGGGCTCCCTCTTCAGCTGAAAGACAAGGAGGCCCTCAGTACCCACTGGCCCCTGCCAGGGTCCTGGCTCCCCTTTCCTATGCTCATGAATGAGACCGCTGTCAGCTGGCTGTGTGGCCCACACCTGTCATCCCAGCACTCTGGGAGGTTGAGGCAGGAGGACTACAAGTTCAAGCCCAGCCTGTGCAACTTAGCGACTTGGTGAGACTCTGTCTCAAAATGAAAAATAAAAAAGGTGCTGGGGTGCAGCTCAGTGTGAAGGCCCGGGTTCAATCCCAGCACAAGAAAGAACAGACGCAAGCTGCCCGTCTTTGAAGCCCGCCGGCCCACCCCCGCGCACCTTTGAGCATCTGTGTGAGCACGTCGGCGGGGACGCTCTCGCCCCGCTGCAGGGCCTCCCGACGCCGCTGGACCCAGTCCTTGCCCACCTGGCGCAGGAGGCGGATGCTCTCACGGATCTCCCGCAGCTGCTTCCTCCAGCCCGGCAGGAACTGGAAGAGCCGCTGCTCAGGGGCACGGACTGGACCGCGCCCGCCCGCCCACCCCACCCCAGGACGGACATCCACAGCCACGGCCAGCCAGGGCCCAGGAAAGTGAGGGAGTCTAGAAAAGACGAAGCATCGGGGAGACCGCATCCGGAGGGCGGACGGCGCCCAGCACCAAGCCCTGAGAGGACCGGAAAGAGGCCTTGGGGAGCACTGGGAAGTGACAGGGAGCCCCGAAGGGTGGAGACAGGACGGCACCACAAAGGAGGAAATCATGCCCAAGGGAAGAGAAGTGGAATCAGCGGCTGAAAAGATGGGGTGGCATTGGGGGCTGCAAGCTCAGAAAGTGAAGTCCCAAGGCACAGGAGGGGAACCTGGAGATCAACTCAGGAATCACCTTTCCCCTGTCTTCCTTCTTCATGTCTGGAATAAGGAAGTGATAGCTGGAGCTACAGCAGTCATCTTATGACAATGAGGTGATGGCTGAGGACAGGGGAACACAAAGACAGAAGGATTCGGGAACATCTGATGTGGGGAGCCACCGAAGCCACCCTAGATTGCCTGTTTCAGGGATCATTTAATGTGAGAGAGAGATTAACTGCTAACTTACAGTAAGTCACTTTGACTTTGTGCCTGTGCTTCAGGCAATGCCCACAAATCCTGGTACCAGACCTTAACACCCATTCTGAGAAAATGACTGCAGGATGTGCCCCAGCAAACACAGACAGCACAGCTATGGAGGCTGGTCCTGGGGAGCGGGTAGGGGGTGGTACCTTTGCAAGAGTGTTGCGTGATGCACTGATGCCCTCCAGCATCACTTTCACTGCCTGCGACAGAGGCTTCTGGGCACCCAGCAGCATGCTGGTCTCCATCCCGAAGGCTGCCTGGGGGTGAAAGGAGAGCATGTCATACCTAGGGGCGGGAGGACAGCAGAGCCAGGCAGAGCTGGGACTCAGGCCTGGGCCACACGTCTGGGGTCCTCGCTCCTTATGATGACTCGTGCCGCTGAGCAGCCCAGCCTGGGCCCCGCACTTCTGGGTGTCGGTTTCTAGAGAATCAGTAGCTGAGCTGCTTCAGATTCACGCTAGGCTGCTTTGAATATCCAAGGAAGCAAAACACAAGTAGGAGGGGCACAGTGAAGGGGCAGCTGGTACACAGAGGAGCAGGGGGCAGGGGAAGCGAGTGAGGAGAGCAAGGGAAAGAAGAGAGGACCCCGTCCCACGTGCCGCTCTGGGAACCTGTCCGTCACCTTGGCCAGGATGTCGATGGTGGCGCAGGTCAGCATGTCCTGCATGGACACCGGCGTCTGCCCATCCGCCTTGGCCTCCAGGATCTCCACCAGCTGCTCTGCCTTCTCGTTGAATGTTTCCATCAAGCTGACCAGGGAGCTGAGGAAACAGCATGGCCATCAGTAGCCACCAGGACCGGCCCTGCCCTGAACATGCCCTGTGCCCCAACTCTCTGCACAGTGCGTGGGGCCTCGTGATCTCTCCAACCTCCCCTCTGGGTGCAGACTGTAGGCTGGGGTCTCACCATTCCCTCCTCTTCTGGTGGACACTGCCCCTTTGCCTTGTCTTTGTGGTTTTGTAGGCCCTCTGCCCGAGTAGACTCACTCTGACCCAGGGGGCACTGCAGCCCTGAGACTTGGGCCTTCTGGAGTCCACGATGCAGCCACTTTGGCCCCCTCTCATTTCTGCTCACATCCACCCTAACCTGCCCTGCCCCAGGCCACCATCTGTAGCCCTTTTCCTCATTTCACTTCTGTCCTTGGGCAATCATAGTGCCCAAGCATAGCTGGAAATGAGGCCTCAGAGGCCACCTGCAGCTCAGAGCTCCTGGCCCACAGTGATCCCTGCCCTGGGACAGCTTATTTCCTAGGCATACATGTCAGAAAGACATATGGAAGGATGCACTCCAGACTCACAAAAGCAGCAGACCTGAGGGAGTAGAAGGGAATAGACTGTACTTTGTACACTATGTATGTCTGAGTCTTTATTAGAAGAAACTGCTGCTTTGTCATTAAAAACATTTTTTTATATTGACCTGAGTAAAGGGTACATGGTCATTCTTTGTCCTCTTCTTAATCTTGAAATTTATCAGGAAATTTGAAGTTATTTTCAAATAAAAAGTTTAAAAAGGGCTGGGGATAAGGGCTGGGGATTTAGCTCAGTGGCACCGTGCCTGCCTCGCAAGCACAAGGTCCTGAGTTCAATCCCTGGCACCAACAAAAAAATTTTTAATAAGAAAAAAACATTAAAAAGGACTGAGGGTGTGGTTCAGAGGTACAGTGCTTGCCTGGCATGTGTGAGACTCTGGGATTGATCCATAACAACACACACGCATATACACACTCACTACTAAAAAGAAAAACCGAGAGAAGAGAAATAGAGGGGGTGAGTTCTTACATAGGCTGAGTAATATTGTCATAAATGCATCTTTCAAAACCTCCTTCATGTAAATTGGGCATTTGTAATAAAATAATCATCTCTATAATGATACTTATCATCATTTTAGAAAATAAAAACATTGGAGGCCAGGGATTTAGCTCAGTGGTTCCAGCGCCTGCCTCAGAAGTGCAAGGGCCAGAGTTTGATCCCTGGTACCAAAAAACAACAACAACAACAACAACAACAACAAAAAAAACCGCAAACATTGGGGCCAGGGATGTAGCTCAGTGGTGCTGTGGTGCTGTGCCTGCCTGGCAAATGCAAGGTCCTGAGTTCAATTCCCGATACTGAAAATAAATAAATAAATTGTGACATGGAGACCTTGCCTCAAATAAATAAATAAATAAATAAATAAATAAATAAATGAGCCGGGTGTGGTGGCTCACACCTGTAATCCCAGCGCTCGGGAAGCTGAGGCAGGAGGATCACTGTGAGTTCGAGAACAGCCTGGGCTACATAGTGAGTTCCAGATCAGTCTCAACTACATAGTGAGACCCTGTCTCAAAAAGACCAAAAAAAAAAAGAAAGAAAGAAAGAAAGAAATACCTGGGGATTTAGGTCAGTGGTTCTGCTGCCTGCCTTGCAGCACAAAGTCCCAAGTTCAATCCATGGTACCCCAAACAAATAAATAAAATTAAGATAAATAAAAACTTTAAAAATGTCCCTTATACTAATATGGGAAATTTTCCATAAATTTGAAATTTCATTGAAGTAAAAGATGATCTTCCTCAAGATATGAAATACAGTTACCATATTACCCAGGAATGTAGCCAAAGGAAATGAAAACACATGCACAAAGAAAATCTCATATATAAATGTTTACAGCAGCCTTACTTACAATAGCCAAAAGGCTGAAATGACCCAAATGATCATTAATTGAAGAATTAAAAAATGGTGTGTGGTATCCATGCGATGGGATATTGTTCAGCAATCACAAGGAATGAAACTGATTCTGATGGGCTATGAAAGGAAGGAGCCATGGAAATATTCTAGGTGGAAGACGCCTGGCCCAGAGGACACGGATTGCAGAGTTCCATCAGTAGGAAAGGTCTAGAACACGAACACTCAGAAACAGGAAGTAAATGCCTGGCTGCCAGAGAACGGGGCCCTGGGGAATGGCTGGTTTTGGGGTGATGAAAACATCCTGAAACATTGGGATGGCGGATTCCCAAGTCACAGGTAGACTAGAAGCCGTTATACATTTCAAATGGGTGAATTATGTCTCAATAAGAGACTGACACTGGGAGTGGCAGTGCATGCCCATAACCCCGGCACTGCAAGAGGCTGAGGCAGGAGGACCACAAATTCCAGCCCAGTTTAGGCAAATTGAGACACTTAGCAAGAGCCTGTTCCAAATTTAAAAATTAAAACAGGGCTGTGAATGTAGCTCAGTGCAGTGCAATTCTGAGGGAGCAGGGAGTCCCGACCGACATGGTCATTCACCCCGACACTCCCAGCCGCACAGGGCTGCCAGTCTCACCCATTCTGACCAGTGAGCCCTCTGCCCCGGGTCCGTCCTGCTGAGTGAGGTCCCCTCAGGTCCCCCGAGTCCCCACGCTGCAGGGGTCTGGGCCACACTCACCTCCGGCTGAAGGCTGGGTCCATGACTTTACGCTGCTTGTGCCACCGCTCGTAGTCACACTCGGACAACAAGCCCTGGCCAAAGAGCCTGCGGGAGACAGGAGGTCACGCAGGATGGGGGCCGGGGTGCCCTGCACCAACTGTCCAGGCCAGACACGCTAATCTGGGGCCATGGGACTCGCAGTACACAGCCCTGAACTGCCACAACAGTGGACAGCTTTATTGTCCACTAACAGGAAATAAGTGGGCTGGGATTTGGCTCAGCGGGGCCGCCGCCTGCCTCACAAGCGCAAGGACCCAAGTTCGATCCTTGGTACCAAAAAACAAAACAAAACAGGAAATAAGTGAGAATTGGGGTGGGCTGAGCCCCAAACTCAGCAGCCCCTAAGGGGCAGCGGGAGCAGGAGTGGGGTTGCCCAGCAGGGTTGTCAGTCATATGCCTGCCCCCACCCGGCACTGGGCGGCGACGCCTCCTCACCTCTCTCCGAACACCGTCTGGAGGGCGCGGTACATCTTGGAGTCCTTGTTGTACTTGGTTGACATCAGGAACTTCTAGACACCCCCCAAAAACCAACATGAGCTCAGGTGCCCATGTGAGCTCACGAGGGACACCTGTGAAAGGTGCCTTGGAGCCACTGGGCTGGGGCGTGAAGGCGACACATGACGGGGGCCAGGAGGCCTGACTTCAAGTCCAGCCACCCTGCGGGCCCGGGAAAAGGGGCCTGGACCCAGGCGAGTGGCTGATGGCCACACAGTTCCAGGGCTGCTGGGACACAGGAGAGACCTGCAGGGGCCCTCATCCTGAGTCCCAACTAGATGCAGAGGTCCACAGAGACTTCAGGGGCTTGCATCCCTGTGTCACCCTTGCTAACTCTGTTCCCTGGTGAGTCAGTCTCCTCTCCAGCCCTGGAGTCTTGGTCTGATGGGACGGGATTAGGAGAGGGTCTGCCGGCTGGGCTTTGGCGAGGAGTAAATTTGCTCTTCCCGAAAAGCCTGGCACACAGCAGTTGCGCAGTAAACACCCAGAGGTACCTGCCTGAGCTCCTTCAGTGCCCAGATGACCCTAAGACATGCGGGCCATCGTTATGCACGCAGGGGAAAAGATTTTGAACTGGCCCCAAGCTGGTCACACCTGTGAGGACACAGGATGCTCATCTGGGGTGGGGAAGGGAGCCTGTGGCCCATGCCGAAGGATGCAGGCCACGGGATGCTGCTCTTGGTCCTGGGACCTCGGGAGGCACTCAGGGGACTCCTTTGCCACAAGCCAGGGCTGCCTGCTCTGGTGAGTTTCACTCCTGGTGTCTAACATTGACTGACTTCAGACAATTTCACATCAACAGCAGCATCTGAGCTGTCCCCAGACATTGTCATTTGCAAGCCAGTCCCACCTGGAGCGAGGCCCCGAGCCACCTGAGGTCTTGTAGCCCATCCTAACCAATGAAAGACCAGTGTCCCTGGGGCTGGGATCTGCAGGGCTTTGGGATGAAAGACAGAGTGGGAACCACCAGCTCTTGCCCCCTCTCTGGTCACCCACACTGACGGCTCTCTTCTACCCACAAGGCCATCATGGCCAAGGACTTCCCTCTGCCAACCACAGCTGGAAAATGGGGCAAGACACCATTTTTGGACAAGCTGTGCAGAACTGTGAACCAAAAGGAGGAGAAAGAAAAAAAAAAAGGCATGGGGTGTGACCAGGTTTAGCCCAGTTTTGTACCTAGAGGTAATTCTGGGACAGTGTGTTGGACAGAGAGACCCAGATACAGCCCAGCAGTGTGGAGAGTTGGACACACAGAGACTGGGGCTGTGCAGAGAAAGGAGTCCCCGCAGAAGCCGGCTGGGACCCTGCAGCAGGGGCTGAGTGCCCCATCAGTGCACACACTGGTGGTGTCACCATCGGACAGAGCAAGAGGACTTCCAGGGAGAGGAAAATTACTGAGCAACTATAGGCTGAACACTTCTCAGATCCCACAGGGCCAGAAATTGTTCACATTCCCATTGGGCAGAGGAGACAAACTTCAGGCAGAAAGCCTTTGGCAGAAGGCCCTGTGGACCACTCCTTAGGGGACAAACTAGCCCTGCAATAAAGTCTCCTCTAGAGCCATCTGGGAAAAGTCTGGGAGCAAACCTAGAAAGGGTCCCGATGATCTGCTGGCCACTTCACCACTTTTAACATGAAGGCCAACAAAACAAAACAAGGAATACAACAAAACAATTTTTATAAACTTTTGAGATGGGTTCTCACTACACTGCCTGGGGTGGCCTTGAACTCCTGGTCTCAAGTGACCTCCTACCCTGCCCTCCTGAGTAGCTGGGACCATGGGTTTAAAACAGAATTTAATGCTCAATAGTGTAAACTCCCCAGTGCCTGGTATCCAACAACAATAACCAAAACCACTAGATAGGCTAAGGAAAATCTGACCTATAATTAGGCTTACAAATAATAAACGTGGTAGACTTGGCATACAAATTTTCTAATACCTGCTATAAATGTTATAAATGTGTCCAAGGAACCCACACACCTAAGAAGTTCTAAGACTCACAAATAGAATTAACACAAAGAAAAGCACCCCAAGGCAGAGCATAATTCAACTGCCGAAACCAGTGATAAAGAGGACATCATATGAGTAGAGAAAAATGGAACAGAATAATGTTGTTTGAAGATATTATAGACCCTAGGACAAGGAGAAAGGAAGGAGAGAGACGGGGAGAGAGGGACAGAGACAGAGAAATAGGAGCTAATAAGCCAATAGTAGGAAGGTAAAACAGAATGCTGAACAATACCTAATGCAAAAGACAGCAAGAAGCTGGAGTGGTGGTACAGGCCTCGAATCCCAGCACTCTGGGAGGCTGAGGCAAGAGGATGGCAAGTTCACATCCCACCTGGGCTACTTAGCAACTCAGTGAGATCCTGTATCATAGATGTAGCTCAGTGGGAAGTCTCTAGGTTCTAGCTCAGGGAGAGAAGAAGAGGAAGAGGAAGAGGAGGAGGAAGAAGAAAAGGAAGAGGAAGAGGAAGAAGAGGAAGGGGAAGGGAGGATGTAGAGGAAGAGAGAGGGAGGGGAAAAAAAGAAAGAAAAAAACCCAAATAACAGATATAGGACACAGTAAGTCCCCAATTTATTAATGAGTTCCATTCTGGGAGAATTGTAAGTGGGATTCATTTGTAAGTCAACAAAGTGAGTCTTATACAGTAAACCTGTGAAAGTCACAGCTCAAATGTTCCTATGTCAAGGACTTACTGTAGATTTAGACCCACCTGTAAAGTAACCACATCAAATGTAAATGACTGCATTCTATATTCTGCATTCTATTTAAAGGCAGAGGTTCTTAGACTGCTTAAAACAGCTACCTCTAAGAAACCTGCCTTAAATATAAAAGCACAGGAAGGGTGGAAGTAAAATGATAAAGCTGGGGTGGCTATATTAAAGGAGAGAAAATGCAACTTGGAACAAAGTATGTCACCAGGGATGAAGAGGGACACTCCTGGGGATAAAAGTGTGGGTTAGTCATAGAGACCCAGCAATTCTGAGTGAGACCCACCTAACCACAGAACTCCAGACTACACGACAGATACAACAGACAGAACTCAAAGTGGGGATGGACAGACCCATGACTTTGGGTGTAGAGACCAGTATCACACACATAGCAATTGCTAGAATAAGTAGAAAAAAAATTAGTAAAAATTGTAAAGATTTGGAGATTTGAATAACAGTACTGATCAAACTGACCTAACCAACAGACTCTATTTAACAATTATAGAATATACACTCTTTTGTAATTGTTTATGAACATCTATCAAAATGGGCCATTCTTTGTACCATAAAACTTCACTTAATTTAAAAGAATTAGAGTCATGATAAGTATTTTCTTTGATTTACAGAATTAAATTTGAAATCAATAGCAGAGATCTCTGGGATCTTTAATCATATTTAGAAATTGAAAAAATTTAAATAATCCATGGTTCAAAGAAGAAAGCATGAAGTTAGAAAATACCTTAAACTAAATAAAAAAGAAAATATAACATTTCAAAATGTATGGCAAATGAGTGTTAAAGTAGTGTTTAGTTTTCCTTTTAAATATTTATATTAAAAATAAAAAGGTTTAAAATCAATGATCTAATCTCTTGTCTTAAAAATTAGGATAAGAACAAATTAAATCCAGAGTAAGCAGAGGAAGAAAGTAATAAAAAGCAGGAATAAATAAAGTAGAAAACAGGCAAACAATGGACAAAACCACTAAAACCAAAAGCTCGGTCTTGACAAAATGAATAAAAACATATGAACATCTCTCTAGATTGATTAAGAAACAAAAGACTTTGGGTGTATTAGAGCATAACTGTAATCCAAGCTACTCAGGAGACTGAGTCAGGAGGAATGAGTTTGAGGCTGACCTGGGTGAATTACTGAAGTTGTGTCACAAAATAAAATAAAAAGGGTGGGTGTGTAGCTCAGTGGTAGAGCACAGGCTTAGCTTGCTCAAGGTCATGGGTTCAATCCCGAGCAGAGAAAGAAAGAGAAAGATAGAGGGGGAGGGAAGAGATGAGAACAGAGCAGAGGGAAAGAGAGGGAAGGGGAAGGGAAGGAAAGAGGGAGGGAAGGAAGGAAAGACGCAAATAGCTATTCTCAGAAATGAACAAGGGGGCATCACTACAGACCCTACAGACATTAAAAAGATAGGTAAGTACTGGGTGGTGATTTCAGCTCAGTGGCGCCTCGCCTGCCCTGCAAGCACAAGGTCCTGAGTTCAATCCTTGTACCAAAAAATAATAAGAATAATGATGATAAAAGATAAGCAAATATGAAAACTTCATGCCAATTACCTAAGCAGTTTAGGAGAGATGGACAATTCCCTCGCCAGACATGAATTGCCATTCAGGAAAAAGATAGAATCTCTGAATGATTATATATCAATTAAATGAGTCAAAAAGGAATCCTGACTCTTGCTGAAACATGGGTGAACCTGGGTGAAATAAACCAGTTTCAAAAGACAACTGCTTTATGACTCTACTCAGTGAGGAGCCTCAGGGAGCAATTATGTAACAGGGACAGAAAATAAAATGCTGGTTTCCAGGGGAAGGGGAGGAAGGAGATTCCTTGTTTAATGGGTGCAGAGTTTCCACTGGGAAAGATGAACTTCTGGAGAGAGCTGGTTGTGTGTGGATGTACAACCACGACACTGTACTGAATGCCCTTGAACTATACACCTAGAAATGGTTAAGTGTGTATATTTTATATGATATTTTATCATAATTTAAGGTTTTTAAATTTTAAAATATACATTTAAAACAAAAAAACAAATCAAAGGGCTGGGGATTTAGCTTAGTGGGGCCTTGTCTGCCTGCAAAGCACAAGGTCCTGAGTTCTAATTCCTGATACCAGAAAAAAAGTTGAAGGTGTAACTTAAAAAATAAACAGAACTTCTCCCAAAGAACTGGCCAGGCCCACATGGCCTCCCTGATGAATTCTATCAAAATTAAGAAAGAAAGAACACCATTCCTACACAAATTCTTACAGAAAACAACGGAGGAAACCATATATCTCAACTTATCTTATGAGGCCCAAATTAACAAAATACTAAAACCTGACAAAGGGGCTGGGGGTGGCTCAGTGGTAGAACAGCTTAGCGTGTCCAAGGCCCTGGATTCTAACCCTACCACCTGCCAAAATTATAATGCTGGGTATGGTGGTGCACACCTGTAATACCAGCACTTGAGAGGCTGAGGCTGGAGGATTACTGTGAGTTCAAGGCCAGCCAGGGCTACATAGTAAGACCCTATCCCAAAAAACAGAACAAAAATAGCTTTAATAACACCTGACAGGGCACTACAAGGAAAAATAAAGGACAAAAACCCTTACCAAACTATCAGCAGTACACAAAAAGGTGGTAGGAAGTGTTCAGAAGAGCGAGGAAGGCTTAACGCTGGACTGTCAGCGTGACCAACTGTATTAATGTATATTTTTAGCTCCCTTTCCCATTAAGTGTCATGAAAGTCTGTGAACATGTTCCAGGGTGCAGGGCTTGGGATCCATCCTCATTACTGAAAGAGTGAATGACAAAAGTGAGACACCCCCAACGCCCTAGGTTGTCCTTTACCCCTGTTGGTGTTGCTGGCACCTGCCCCATCCACGGGGGCAATGACGGCTCCAGGGCTCAGGAAACACCACTCTTCTCCTGTCCTTACAGCCCCTGTGAGGTGGATGAGGAAACTGAGGCCCAGAGTGATGATGTGACGTGTCCAGTCCCGGCCAGCTGGGGCAGAGCCTGGCCTGGAGCCGGCTTCTGCCCATACCAGAGCGGACGGTAGGTGCCCCTCCTGGGTGCCCAGGTGGCACACTTGCCCTGGCTTCCTCATCTTGAATGGGAACTAACAAGAGCCCCCCATGCTTGCTAAGGTCAAGCAAGTTCACGATGGCAGAGTACTTAGCAAAGTACACAGTTGTCACGACAACTGTTGAGGTTCCCTAAGAGACTTTGTGCCAGGCATGGGGCGCACACCTGTCATCCCAGTGCTCAGGAGGCTGAGGCAGGAGGATCAGCAGGAGTTCAAGCCCAGCCTGGGCTACACAGTAAGACTCTCCAAAAAGAGGCACTTTGTGTCATAAACGCCCCTGTATTTAATTCTCAGAACCTGGGAGAGCCATGCCATCTCACAGCTGCGGGGCTGGGCCCAAGGTGGGTAAACCAACTATGTGTGTCCCCAAGCAGGGATGGCGAACTCTGGCCCCACTTCCCACATCAAACGCCACTGCTTGGAGGAGAGGGAGATGCTGCCCCCTTCCGGGTCCCTGGGAGATGGGCCTGAGGAGCCCCACTGTTCTGGAACATTCTGCATGGTTCCAGGGACCATTTCCCCCTCCCCCTGGGAAATGGGGGGCTTCTCGAGGAAAGCGCAGGGCTTCCTACCTTGACAGACTCAGGGCTCGTGACAATGACAGAGGTCTTGTGGAAGACATTGACCCGCACCACAGGCCCGTACTTCTTAGCCCTAGAAACCAAGGTGACGTGGAGGGGAGCCAATGACAGGGGGACCTGGCCGGGCTGAGGCCACACCCTCCCCCAGCCTCAGCTTCCAAGTCCAGGAAAAGGGGTTCAGACATCCGACCTCTGACTGCCCCCAAGAGTTTCCTAGGGATGAAACAGTACCAGTCCTGGGCAATGTGTTGAGAAGTGTGAACTGTTACCCTGAGCCACAACTGCGATTTAGGGACCCCCTCGCCCAGTTTACAGGCTGGGGTGTGACAAGGTCCTGGTGCTGGGTGGGTGGGCGAGCTCCGAGGCCTGGGGTGGGAGAGTGACAAGGTGGAACATACCACTCCAAAAACACATCCTGGAGCACGCCGCCACAGGCCTCGTCCTTCTTCCAAAGGTAGGGGAGGTGCCCTAGGAGGAAGCTGGAAGAAACAGCAAACATGAGGCTCCTGGCAGCCACCTGGGGAGTGGCCCTGCCGTACGGGGCCACACGGACTGCTGCCACAGGCAGGACCACGGGACAGAGGCCTGCGGCACTGGCCTGGCATCCCTGGGCGGCAGCAGGGATCCCAGGCCTGCCTTGTACCATGGCCTCCTGGGAGAGGAGACACCTCTGTCCCCCCCTGGCTGTGACCAGCGGTCCAAGGTGCACAGGAAGCATACGTGACATCGTGGAGAACCCCGTGCCCCCGCGGTGCAGGCCATGAACCGGATTCGGGGTGGGGCAGGTGCAGAGGTGCAGTCGCACGACCTGAGTGTTGCAGATGCTGCCTCACCGGGGACAGTTTTGTAAGTGGCTGTGATCACCAGACCCTCAGCAGGCCTGGGGGGCACCTTGCAGTGCCTTCCTGTCTCCTCTGAGGTGTTATTCTGATTGAGCTCGGCACAGCATTCTGAAAGCTGACAACAAAATTGCAGTTGGAGCTTTCTAGGTCACAGCAATCAGATTCTCCCAGGGAGAGGTGGGGAGTAAAAAAAAGTAAGCAAGGAAATAAATAAAATGCCAGAGAGAAAAATGAACAGAGTGCTGCTGTTTGGTGTGGGGAAGTCATTTGCTACCCAGGGAGCACCCCTCAAAGAAGGCAACCTATGAGCCAAGACCTGACTGCAAGGGGGGATCTGGGGGAGAAGCATTGCTGGCTATAGGAACAGCATATACAAAGGCCCTGAGGTAGCCTGTGCTCAGACAGTGAGCGGGCCCCATGTGGATACTGAGGCCGGGGGCATGATCATGTAGGGCCCTGGGAGCTGTTGTACAGACTTCTGCTTTGACTTCTGCGAGGTGGGCATTGCTGAAAGGTTTTGAGCAATTAACGGAGGGATGTAATGTGGCTTGGGTGAGGGGCACAAGATGTGTCAAGGGCAACTGTGGGGCTCAGGCCCTGGAAGCAATGCACTAAAATGACAACAACCCAAGAGGAGCTCGTTGGGCAGAGGATGCCACTGTGCTGGCCCATGCAGTTCTGCCAGGTCCTGGCTCTGCCCAAAGGGAGCACAGGCCAGAAGTTCCCAGAGCAGCCATCCCATGGCCCAGCCCTCCTCACCTGCACTAGGTATCTCTGCACATGTGCTCTATGCCATCTCCCATGGCTGCCAGGACAACTGTGCCTCAGTTTCCCCACAGTCAACTTCCTCTTCTGGCTTTCTTACCCTCTTTGTCTACCCACTGCCACCCTTGTGCACCCCCCTAAACTTCTAACACCTCACTTCGTTCTCGGGGTTGACTTTGAGAGGAAGAACCAGGCACAAGCAGATGAAACCAGGAGCTGGAGTTTGGACCCGGGGGGGTGTGCAGATGCCGTGCAGCAGATAGGAAGTCTGGGGCGCAAGGGGAAATGAGCTTTGAGTCCTCTTCTGAGGGGTGGCCCTGTCAACACAGCGACAGGGTGAGGCCACAGGGAAGCGGCAAACAGAGAAGATCAGCACAGGCCACCAGGGACAGGTTAGGCAGCAAAGGTGCAGCCAGACAGGCAGGGGCTGCCAGAGAAGAAGCCCGGAGGAAGCAAGACCGCGGACTGGACTGAGCTGAGAGATGAAGGCAAGGCCGGAAGTTGGAGGTCACTGGGGACCTGGAGCGGAGTGGGTTTGGTGGAGAGGCAGGAGCCGGCCTGAAGGGAAGAGGGTTCAAGAGAGAGCAGACAAGAGGACTGGAGCCACAGGGACAGGGGCTGCCGGGGGGCTGCTGGAGGGCAAGAAGGAGGGAAGAAGTGGAAAGAGACAGGCTTTTCCAAGCCAGGAACACTTACAGCGTTCTATAAAAATGGGAGAGACGCAGAGAAGGCAAACGGATGGCACAGGCAGGGCTGGGGAGGACGGCCAGACAAGTGTATGGCCGGGACACCAGCCCCTTTCTGCAAGAGCAGCGGAAGGCAGCACCGCACGGCACGGTGGGGGAGCTCTCCCGGGCACTCCCTTGCTTGGGATAAAAACTGAGCAGGGGTGGACGGGAGAGGAGGGCACTCAGAGAAGGCAGGAAGAAACAAACCCTGGCTACCACACCCAGAACTAGCTAGCACACGCAGTGTTATTCCCCAAAGCTGTGTGCTCAGCGTTGAGCATCTGAGACTGGACCTGCCCCCTCCCCTAGGCCTGGCTGACCCCAAAGCCTCCACTCTGACTGCTGGGGTCCACAGCCCTGAGAAGGAGGGTGAAGGCCACTGCCAGAAATCTGGGAGCCTCCAGTGTCAGGCAAGAAAGGGAACTAAGAGCCATTCCTTCCGGTTCCTGCAGGGGGCGCTAGTGAGAAGACGGTGGGAAACGCTAGAAATAAGCAGGTAGGGCTGGGTGGAATTTGTAGCTCAGCACTGGCACAGACAGAAGCCCATTTGTTAGGCCCCGGAAATAGACTGGACATGGCAGGGAGGGAAGCCAGTCCAGGGAGGGAGGGCACAGCAGAGAGTTGGCCTGCGTGGCACTCCCGCACACTCCTCTCTAACGCTGTGCTGGGCCAGCTGGGAAACCAGAGTTTCCTACAGGAAGAGAAAGCCTTGGGCAGTGACCACAGAAGGCACCTGAAGGGCCCATTGCAAGGCCACCCAGAAGGAGAAGGAGCCGAGGCATGGGCCACTGACTAGGAGTGAGAAGGAGGATGAGGTGAGGGCCACGCTGCGTGTGCCAGGGACTGGATGTGCCACCCCACTGAGTGGTGCCTCCCAGGGCTGGAACCAGCCTGCTCCTTGCTGAGAGCCCCCATCCTGGGCAACCTGGAGAGTTGGGGAGGGAGGAGAATCGGCACTGTCCAGGAGTCAAGGGCAAAAAGAATTATTCCAAGATGAACAAAAAAGAGGAGAGAGAGATCTTTCCTGGTCAAACTGGACCTGGACAGTGGAGACTGCTGGGGAATCTCAGAGCAGTGTCAGAGAAAAGAAGATGCAAGGAGGGTTTGTGTGAGGTACAAATGTGGGGTCTCGGGCAGCAGGAGGTTTTAATAAGAGCAGAGGGAAGGGACAATTGGGGAGGGGGTCCTGGGGGAAAGGCCACCTGCCGAACACAGAGGCTGAAACACCAACGAACAAACACCACGGGGCCTCAGTACTCGGCTCTCCTGTCAGCCCCAGGGTTGCTAATCACAGTTTGAACATCCAAACTTTTAATGTCAAAGTAGCTGCTCTGTGCCAGAAGAGGTTCCAGAGCTTTCCTCTGGTTCAGCTTCATATTTGATCACCAACCCAGTGTGAATCCAGTCTTGTTACATATTCATTGCTCAGTCCACTTCCCTAGAATAAAGAGCCCAGCTGTGATTATAATCAGCCTCCTCCCACTCCTCCAACTACTTCCACAGACCTGGAGGTCACATGCAGGCTCTGAGGGATAGAAATGGGGAGGTTTCGGCTATGGAAAGGGAGAAGTGTGGACACACACGTGGGCAAGCCCAAGGTACCGTGCTAAGTGAAAGGAGTCAGACACAAACAGCCACATAAGGTGTGACTCTGTCTCTACAAGATGTCAGGGGACAGGAGGCAGGCTCTGTGACAGGACGGGGATTAATTCTCAAGCAAGCTGCGGGGTGTTGGATGAGAAGAGGTGGCCAATGGGTCTGAGTTTCCTCTTAGAATGATGGAAACCTTCTGGAATTTGCAGTCATGGTTGTATAACTTGGTGACTCTACAAAAAAAAAAAAAAGCAAACACTGAATTGGACACTTCAAAAGGTAAATTTTGCAGAATGCAAGTTATTGTTCAACTTTTTAGAGAGGCTGTAAGGAAAGGGGATTGATTTGGTTTCCGTCTTTTTCAGACACAGAACTGACCGGGTCTGCAATCCCAGAAGCTCATGGGCTTATGAGAAGGCCAAGTAAGGATGAGACTCATAAGAACAAGCACCGAACCCATTCAACTGTAAACTATGGATGATGATTCGAAACCAGGGAGGGTGAGCAGAGTCCCTAGGAAATTCCCACCATGCAGCCCCAAGCCAGGGTGCTTTGGGTGTCTGTGTTGGGTGCACGGCCCTGTCACTGCGGTGCTAGAGGTCAAGGATACAGCACTGGATGAGACAGACACAGGGTCCATGGAAGAGACAGACACTTAACAAGAGGTTGCACAAATAATTACCCAATTACCATGACGCTGTGAAGGAAGACTTGCTCAATGACCTAGGGCCTTATAAAATTAACATGATATCCAGGGCTGAGGAAGGGGACTGGAAGGCCATCTAGGCACAGAGTAAAGCAGTTCTAAGCGAGGGGCACAGAGTCCTGGGTTGACCCCAAGGCAAGCGAGGTCCCAGGGAAAACTGGCACCTCCCAGAAACACAGCACATAAGGGTTCACTGACCCCCAACAGGAATCTAGGCTTCTAATGTCAGCACATTTGGCTTGGGCTGGAAACAGACACCTTCCAGAAGGTTCATGACTGAGGTTTTACAAAGCGTGTCTAATACATTGTTCATTCACTCATTCAACAGATATTTATTGAGTAGCTGCACCATGCCAGGTGCTGGGGATACATGAGCCCATGTCACAGCATCCCTGCCCTCCGGGGCTCACATTCTAAAGCAGAAGACACAGTCAACAGGTGCGCAGACAGTCCACAGGTGGGGAGGAGACTTCAGGGAGACTGCCCTAGAGAAAGGTGGAGCTGGGAGGCTGGGGAGGCCTGTTTAACGTGAGCAGAGGACCAAGCTGCCACTCCTGGGCTCGAGAAAAGGGAATGGGGAGACGGTGCCGAGGATGGGGGGGCAGAGGAAACGGTGGGGGGGTCATACAGGTCCCCCTGGGCTCGGAGGCTCGGCAGGGGCCTTGTTGGCTCTGCCATGGAATTAATCTGGAACTGCATTTCCTAGCTCCAAAGTGACAGGAAGCCCTTGCATCTACTCTAAGCACGAAGGGGCGCCGGATGGGGCCAAGCACGTATCAGAAGTACTAAGACGACACATGAGACATCGCGGGACAGACACGCGACAGACACGGGGATACGACGCCGCAGCGTGCGCCGTACTTTGACAGGTCGGTCCTGTCTGCGTCCCGAAGTTAAGAGCACCCGCTTCCGAGTCAGGCCGACCCGGCTTGGAATCCGGGCTCCCCGACCGCGTGACCTTGGGCAGGTGACTTCGCTCCGCGCCTCAGTCTCCCGGTCTGAACGATGGGTGACAATCGCGCCTACCTGACAGGCTGTCGTCGCGGCTGCGGGGCCCAGCCCGGCAGCTGCGGCGGGGGTGAGTAATCGCTGCTAAGAATAATAAGCACCGGGCCACGG